ATGGTATTTTTCCCCAGATCAGTTTCTTGAACAAGTTCTCCCTCACCATAGCACTTACACTAGCATGAAGAAAGAAGCAGCACAGGCAAGGGAAAAAATGGGCAAGAGCATTCCCTTAACAGAAATACATGTCTAACACAGATTGAGTGATTACCTGATTAAGAAAATACTTGTAAAACATCAAAATACAACGTTCTCAGGTCAGAAGTAAACACTGGATCTTCAGAATTAGGCAAACGTGCATTAAAATACAGTTACTCCATTTAATACAAGTAGTGCTAATATGTTTCTAGTTGGTAATGTATTTTTCCTGGTAAAGTCTAATAATTTTGGCATTAAGAGATGGACCTAAATATAGCTTCTGCAATTCAATAATGTTCGTGTTTAGAAATTGTTTCCCATTGAATTTGAATTTGCCAGACTGCTGAAAGACAAGCTGAAAGTAAATGTAGCCTGTGTGCTGGTTTTAGCTTGGTTTTCTCCCCGGACTCACACTGGCAAACCCTACAGCAAAGCCAGTTTGTTGGGTTTTCCCCCTGGGCAATCAGGACAAGGACTGGCAAGGCAAAAGGGTGTATAGCAAAATACCATGGAGAGGGCTGAGGATAATGAAACCCAAATGTCCTAAAAGTACCAGGGTTTTTTAGTATCCATGTGGAGAAGTTTGCAGTTTTTAGTGTTCAGCAAGCAGATGAATCACCTAAGAATACACAACGATGGGTTTATCAGCTGAGCTAAAAAGCTGAATATCCAGGGATAGACATTGTAACAATCCCTGACATACCTGGTTAGATGACTCTGCTACTGCCTGAATGTAGAGCCCTGCTATGTCCCATGATCTGGGCTGATATAAATACAGACATGCTCAAGCATTTGATAGGGCTCTTTTTCATTTTTTATAGCATTACTGGAACCTTCCCGAGAGTCCGGAAACAGCATTTGTTGGAGAACAAGGCTCATTAAAATAAATGACATTGTTGCTGCTTCCTCAGATAACTTTGCTCCTGTCTCAGCAGAGGTAGACTGGTTCTATTACTGGGAAACAGTCTCTGTTGCCAGTTCTGTGGTAGAGGAATGGCATTCTAAATTTAAAAATCCTTTTCTATTGATCCATGTTTATCACATAATACTACGCTGGCTTGCATTAAACAGCAGAGATACATTTTCATCCCTATGAAGGGAATTAAATGCCCAATTCTTATTATTGTTAATAGTTGTGTGCCTAATGCCCAGCGTGCCTGCCTGCAAACATACCCCCTTAATTGCCTAATGTGCAGTCTTGAGAGAAGCAGATTATTCAGCTTTATGTTTCTGCATTTGCAAATATACCAAGGAACTGGTAGCTGTGGCACAAAGAACGGATTTGTCAATTTGTTTATTTTCAAAACAGGACAGCACAGGGACTTTGTTCTAGCAACTCTTGGCTATAACGCTGTGAAATTCTAAAAAAAAATGAAGTATTTTAACATATGGATTTCTACAGTGTGGGAAGGTTTTGCTTTGCATTCAGGACTCTTTCCAATTAAACTGAACCTTAGCTCAGCCCATTTAAAATGCATATAAACTGTACTTATGGGTTTCCAGTTATGTTTACCCTCCTTCTGAAAGATACCACAAAGGGCATGACCAGAAATGCAGAAATGTTTTAACCCTGAAGTTTACAGCTGGGTTTCCATTGTTTTATTTGTTTGGATATAAAAATGTAGATCCCTAAAGACAGTATTTACCACTGTTTTTCAAAACAGTTGAGAGAGTTGTACATGAAAAGGGTACACTGAAAAGCATACATTCCAAACAATGATTTCTATTCAGCATTAAATTAAGTTGAAAACAGTTTTGACCATGTTGAGTAGTCCATAGAAAGCTTCATTACCTTCAACAGGACTAAACATGGTGTCACATTACTTCCCACAATGACAATGTGAGTTGCATTAAGTGAAACATGCTATTTAGATTTGTATACATGCAAACACACTCCAAGTTGGAAATAAATCTGAAAATTTAATGCATGTGATTTCATAGTGACCATATCTATTTTGGAATCCAAAGTTTATTGGATCCACTGTATTCTCAGTAAAATCCTGTGGCTGAAGTTCTGTTGTAAAATAATAAAGACATTTCAAATAGGTTTCTCACAGAAGCTGTCACAAGATTCATTTAGTGCAGATCAATCTGTCCACATTATCTGTGTTCACACATTCCAGCCACCTCCATTGTCAGAGGGAAAAAAACACAGCCCAGAAAAACATCTAAACAAATAAATAAATCCCTTTTCCTGTGCTTTGACAAAAGCAGAACTATTTCCTCCCAGAGAAGCCACAGAAAAGTAGGTGGCTAATGGAAGAAGGGTATGTCAGCCAGAAGTCTCAAGGGTGACAAGGGTGACAAGTCACTTCCTCAGAGGTAGGCAGAGCTATATCCTGAAACTTTTGGTGTCTCTAAAACAGTTCTTCTATGCTTTCATCTGGGGGGGAGTGTTTTACACAAGGAGTCCCCCTGGATGTCTCAAGTCATCTCTCATTGAATTCTGCCTAGGAAAGTGGCCCTTGGCTGTGTTCTCTCCTGTTGCTTCTGTCTGTTCACCTCCATGCAAAAACATACACCCCACAGCTCACAGCATCACCACTGTTAGGTGGAAAGGAGACCATTGTTAGCTGCCTCATGTCATCAGGGCTGAGGCAGACCAGAGATTCACAACCCCTCACGTCTCCCATTTGCTTGAATATTTCTCTCATCTCTCAGGCAGGGTGATAGCATACTGAGAAATAAACCTCTTTACTCTGCCATATCCCTGTAAGTGAGATATCCTCATTAGCAACTGCATGAAGCAGTCAGTCAAAGTTTTCCCAAATGCTTCTTAGCATCAGCTAAGTCACATAATATTAATACCACCAATGTCTGCTACACCTCTATGGGATTTTAGTAAGGAGCGAATGTTATTAGAGGAGATAGTGTGGCTTTCCCTTCATTTCTTCTTACACTATATTTGTTAAACAAGAAGCAGTTCTTCAAGTCATGCCAATCAAGTATGGCTATCTAGGACCTAATGTTCACCATGAGATGCAGAAATCCAGTCCCTAAAAAGCCAGCTGGGTGCCTGTGGGTGGTGTAATGGTACCAGGAACCTTTCCAGGTCTTTAGTTACAAACCAGCCCTGGCTGGCACTGGCAAAAAAATGGTACCATTACCTCTATTAAGTGAGTTGGCACTTTCTCTCCACTGTCCACAACAGAAAAATCATTATCCCTGCTGGCATTCATTAGAGCCATTATTGCCTTCCACATTGTGAAGTCCCAGGTTTTCGAGGTCCCATAAGACCCATGCATTTCTCAGGAATGCCCTAGCTTCATTGGTACATCTGGAAGAGTGGAAAGGGGGAAGCACAAGATAAGGCAACGCATCTCCGTGTGAAAACAAATTTATTCCGTGGCATAGGCAGGAGCGAGCCGACTCAAAGCTGCACGAGCAAAAGCTGAAGACCCCTCTAAGCTCCCCGTACTACTCTACCTCCAGCAGGATACAAAGTGATAATTTATCCAAACATTGAGACAGAGTTCCTCAGCTAGCATAAACAGGAGTTTACCCATTGGCTCTGGCCCTCCTGAGAACAAACTCCCATTGACTGATAAGTGATCCCGAGGATAAGGCACTATTGTTGGGTTGTTTCTAAGAGCTTGGCCTTCATAAACTAATCCTTTCATGGGTGCCATAGGCACCACATTCTAAAGCACTAAATTCACTTGAGAAATCCCACAATTAGGAAGGCAAATTGACTCACCAATTTTGTCTGTAAAGGTTTTATTTTATCAACCTATATTTAAGAGGGTGTAAATCTAGGCACGATATGATTAGCAGTACACAGATAGGTGAAGTGGAGGCGGGGCTACCCCAATGTATTTTCAGATCAAATCTTCAAAGAAATTCCACGTGCTCAAGGGCAATTATAGTCATGCAACTGTAGGTGACTGAAACCCATGACTAATAAAAATTAAACTGGCCCAAAATTAATCATATGCAGCAGGAACAATTTGATTCAGCCAGATTAGCTACTAAAATGCCTCTAGAGGATTGGATTAGCAGAAGATATACCCTTCTATCTCAAGGCTCAGGGAACAATATCTTACAAAGGCAAATTAACAATAGAATACATTAGCTAGTCCTCTCTTGATCTCCACAATGAAGAAAGCAGGGGAAAATATGACTGTCAGGCAGTTCCTGCATTTTTGGTTCCTCCAATGTTACTGCAACAGATCCAGCAGTGCATGGTTGATGGCAGACTGGGCAGTAAGCAAGAAATCGTCCAGCAGTAAGTACAGCACCCCAATTTTGCATCATTTCACAGTAAAAAATTGGATAGTCAGGGCAGACTTCTAGTATTCAGTATAAGGATGGTTAGATCAAGGAGATGGGCCAGAACTAAATGATCTTCTCAGATTCCCTCCAACCTTCTCTTCCATCGCCTGAGCAAGCAGTGGCCTAACAGACCAGCTGGCTAGGCATACGTGGTGGTATGAGTGCTAAACCACTGGGTGGCTTACTGAACCAAATGGCATGTTCAGGCTGACTGAGTTTGATGAAGAAAACTTTCTCTTGTACGTAAGACCTCACTTGCAGACTTGCTGTTCATACAGACAGCCTGTTCTTAAGGGTGGCTGCACAGCATCCCTCAAAACACACCAGGAAGATGTGACCAGCACTGTCATGGTTTCCACTGCCAGCACCAGAGCTACACATAGAGCAATGATCTATCTTTCCTCAGTCTCTTATGTGCCCTTACTGTTTCCAATACAAGCAGCAAAGGAACAAGGGAATAAGCAAGGAAGTGATGTGCAAAGATAAAATGCTGTAAATATAGTTCCTTTTCTGACTTTCTTTTTACATAATGTTGTTCAGTCTGTATGGAACTCAAGCATACCATCCATAGCATCTCATACTTATTTACAAGGTTAACGCAACTTGAGTAGACCAACTTCACATTGTTCAATGTCCTTATTTCACAGATACAGAGACGTGCTCAACTGGCTGCTGGAAACCTGCTCTAATGGCAGGACCCCAATATCTGGGAACTTCTGTGTTCTTCCAAAGTGGTATGAAGAAGGTGTAACAGACACCACGATACTCTTCCAGTGTGTTCAGGCATATTGCAGGTGGGCTGACGGTTGCATTTTGTGAACTACTGCCCAATGAAATAGTCCATTCTAGTTTAATTTACAGAAGACCAAGAGACACAATGGAAAAGAAAAACAGCTTAGATGTCTTTACTACCCATTTCCCATCCCTGAACCTAGGATTAGACATTCACAAGTTCTTGTTTTGGTTTTCCTTTCCATAAAGTTTTGTTGGTTCAATAAGTAGAATAAGTATAATCAAATCATAAAATTAAAAAAAATTAAGAAGGCTTGTTGGTAACTTCAGAAGTAGATAGGGCTAACCCTTGCATATCTAGACCTAAGGATTAGCCTACACATCTCCAAAAGTACCTTAAAAGACTTCCTTCTCTATTCTCCCAGGCAAAGGTACACAGCTGAATTTCCATCAGAGTGAATGGCACTGTCCTCCTGGCTAACTTCTAAATACGGAAGAAGCATAATCTTGATCTCCCATGGTTTGTTCTGGATTTGCATTTATATGTAGGGACCACCACTGCCATGCTGTATCTTGTAAATAAATACTTGCACAGAATAATTCCCTCCACTAGTAAACGGTGTGGTTCTGATAATTTTTTGAATGGTCTGTAACCATCAGTCATTCAACTGTCCATGGAGCTAATCAGCCAAAAAGAAAAAAAAAAAAAAAAGAAAAAAAAAAAAAAAGAGAGAGAGAAAAAAAGACACATTTTCTTTAAGGCTGCACTGCCAAGATGAAAATTTTGCTTTAAATAGGCAAAATATGTATTCAGTTTTCTCAACAGCTGGATCTAGCACTGCATAGGAATTTCCCCAGCATCTGATATAGACTAGAAATATAACACCATCCCAACTTTCCAGCTCACTCAAGTTTTTTAGTCCATTCACCCATACAGGAATGACATCAGTCTCACTATCCCCACAGTTCTCAAATGCTAGTTAGGAACTGTAACTCTAACAAAACTGTTTTGTAATGTAGCTGGCTATGTTACACAGTGGCTGGTCACTGTGCTGGAAGCTGTTTTTAAATTTGATCCTAACATGGATTGACTGAATTTACCTAGAATATGGACAGGACCTCATTTATCTGAACTCTGATTTATAGTAAATAGAAAGAATTCAGATTTAATTTATATAACTCCCTGAAGATGCATAGAATGAATAAATGCACTCACCTGTTCCTATTCCCTTTTATAAACGTAAGCAAAGATGATCTCTCCAAGAATATTTATTGGAAAGCCTGGGGAAGAAAATAGAAGAACTGATATGTGTGGATGATTTTTTAATGTTGGGGAGGCATTTAGCTCGAGCAGTAAACACTTTTATTTTTATGAATAGTATTATTAAAGATATTTCATGACATTAAGAAAGCTTCATTATTATAGTTTTCCTTGAAGTCACTATTGAGTCAAATATAGCTGCAAAACCTTCAGTGTGTTTGGTACTTATGTTTGAATCATCTTTTAAATTTTTCATAAATCACAATCCAAAGAGAGTAAAAAAGATGAAGTCCCTATAAAAATCATGTCAATTAAAATAATCTTTTTTTTTAATCATCTTTCTATGCAAATCAAAATATGTTCAGTGGGACATGAGCTCTGTCTTGTCCCATTACAGGAATTTTTAGACAAGATTCTAAGCCTTCAGTCACCACATTTGAAATACATTTAGAATGTTGATGGTATGCAGCACTATTTACAGATAATCATAGGGAAATTTAAGTTGGAAATGATTCTGGGCATGACCTAGTCCCAGCCTGCACTCAGAGCAAGGCTACTTTCAAGTGCTGGTCAGGTTGCTCAGGACCTTGTCCAGTTAAGCTCTGGGTGTCTCCAAAGGAGATTTCACAGCATCTCTGGGCTCCTGTTCCAATGCCAAACCACTCTCTTGGTGAAGGATTCTTCCCCTAAGCCTCACTGCATGGTGCCTTAGATGCCATAGACTGTTGACTTGTAAAGGGTCATCTGCCTGCAGCGCTGTAGACTGGCTTGTAGACTGGCTTTTCATGCCCAGCTTTGCACAAAAGCTCACCCAAGCTGCCAGAACAGTGTTTTCGAGATCCTCTGCCATGGTATCATTCCTTCATTGCTCTCATGCTGTTTCTTCATGCTGTTTCTCTTGCCCCTGCAAACACCAATAGTGTTGTTGTGGGGGGTTCTCACAGGAAGTGACTTCTGTTAGTGTGACAATCACTCTTTCTTTCTCCCCTTCTCCCCCTTTTCTTTCAGCTGTAGTGTTTAGATTACATTAGGGGACCAACAATGTGCATGCACAAAGCTCAGCTACCGAACAGTGCACAGCACCTGCCGCTCATCAAAGTGTGCTCCAGCCAGCACTAATGTTCCTCAGTGGGAACAACCAGTGAGGAGTTTGAGCAAGGTCTCTTGGAAACTATAGGGTTACTGTGGGAAAGTTACTGTGAGGGAATCCTGTGGGAAAGTTACTACGAGACAATATGCAGGGAGGATGCTCCTCTGGGGACCCTCATCACTTCCCTTCCCAGCTAGCCCATAAGCAGTTTCCCCTCTACCATGTTTCTGTGTGTTTCTCCTCCTTATAGTTTTCCCAAAAAAGTAGCTTTCATAATCAGAATTGGTGTACACCATCAGCTGTGGATGGACCTTTCTAATATACCTTTATGCATGTGAACCTGTCTCAACACCCTTTGTGTTGAGAATTTTTTAGTAAGGATTTTTCTTTCTGCAACTTGTAACTGCTGTTCCTCATCCTCTTTTTGTGCACATCAGAGAAGAGTCTGTCTCTGAGCTTCCCTATAACCTTTCCTCAGGTAATGGAAGACAGCAACTAGACACACACAGAGAAAAACTTAGACTTTCCTTGTACATCACATCCTCCAATCTCCTCAGTGTCTTGGCAGCCTTCCTCTGGACTCTTTCCAGTTTGTCAACAACTCCTTTTAGGTGCCCCTAAACCAGACACAGTAAACCAAGTGTGGCTTGTGAATACTGAGCAGAAGGGAAAATCACTTTGTTTAACCTGCTGGATATATTCTTGCTAACGCAGCCCAGGATGTGGTTAGCTTTCTTCCCCATAAGGACATGCTGGCATGTTTAACTGACTACCAGGACTGCAAGGTCCCGTTCCAGAAAACTGCTGCTTCCCCAGTCAACCCCAGATGATGTCCATGCATGGGGTTATTCCATCCCAGGTACAGGAATTTACCTTTGCTTTTGATGAACTTCACGAGACTCCTCTCTGTCCTTTCATCCACCCTGCTGAGGTCCCTCCCCAGCATCCCTCCCATCCAGCATGACAGCTGCATCCTCCAGACTGGTGCCATCCACAGCCTTGCAGAGGAGTCATTCATGCTAGCCCATCACCCAGGCTGTTGATGAAGATGATGAACAGGATCAGCCACAGTGTCAGCCTCCCAGGAACATCAGACTGCTGCCAGTTGGACTTCCAGTCATTAACCACTACTACACATCCAGTCCTTATCTCCTCAATGAAGCTATGTGAGTACTCTGCAAGAGCTTTTGTACTTTAGCAAAAGCTTTGTTAAATTTGAGGCAAACAACCATTGCTCTCTGCTTAGCCACAGAGCCCATGTCCTGGTTTGATTGGGCATTCAGTCTAGTCAAGCACAATTTGCCTTTCGTAAATAAATCCCTTCTGGCTGTTCCCAACCTTCAGAGCTCTCTCCGGGTTTCCCTGTTGCTTCAGCATGGTGTCTTTAACTCAATCACACTTTGATAAAGAAAGCTGAGATTCCTCATTTTCTATAGTTAATATTCTAGCTTGAGAAAGCTTAACAATACTGTGAAAGAATATAAAGATCTTAAAAAATAATGACTTAAGGTTTCTTAAATTTTCTACCAAGAATTTTTCAGAAGATGTACAGCACAGCACTTCCAAAGGGGACACCCTTTTTTCCATCTTTTAAAACAATGGGCCTGTGTTCTGCAAAGCAGAGATGTTCTTCCGTTAGTGGCTAAGACAATGAAATAAGCAAAATTTTAAGGGCCATATCCTCACTTGTTTACATCAACCCATGCCCTTTAGCTTCAGTGTAACTGTACTAGTTTATACCAAAGGAGGATCTGGGCTCCAGTTTCTATTTCCAGCTCCATTTTGCTCATATGAATGCAGCAGTTAATTTGGAACATATGGAAGTGGTGGGGGAGGGAGTTCCTGCTCAAACAGATCATGCAGCTAGATTGATTTTTGCTAAAACTTTAAAAAAACTACAGCACATACCATGTGTGACAGTCACTGTCCTGCATTTCTGATATGAATTATATTGCATAAGAAAATCTGAGTGTTAAAATTTAGTAGCACGGCAGTTACGCTATGCAACACTTCACCTGCCTAGGAATACAGTTATTTCCATTTTCATATTAATGGGATATTGTATCCCAAGATATGCTGAGAGAAAATACACTAAGGGGATTTTATGTGAACACCTGGAGGACCAGTTTATACAATGGAAATGGACTGGAATTAAACTGTGATTAAACACAAATTATTAATGTTGTAAACAATACAAATAGAGAGTAAACCAAAACTGAATGTGAAATAATGAGACAAAAATGTGCTTTACAGTGTTCAAAAAACATGGGTCAGATCACGCAGCTTCCATGGTATCTGCTAAGATAATTTTACAGTAGAAAAGGGTTTTTTTTTTTTGTTATAGCAAAACCAACTTCTATCTGATTGACTGGGAGAGATGTATTGCATTACTGAGCACCATCTCTAGGTCCATGAAAATATTCCTAACTCTTCTTCACCTCCCTAATTTCCCACTGAAATCAAATGGAAGTATAAATACTGTACAACTTTTTGGTTCTGAACTATGGCAGTTGAATCTCTTCCACAAGAGGAATTGAAGTCTGGAATTGAAAGCTTTTTCTCCAGAAACTTAAAGAAAGAGTATATCGTAAGTGAAAAGGAGAGGACCGCTTATATTTCACAATCCTTGCTTGGACACGGCCCACTTCCACACTCCCACAGAGAAGCTAGGAAGTTTAGAAAAGTAAGATGGCAGGAGCTAGAAGAGACGGGAGAGTTTACTACATAAAGGCGAAAATATTGCAAATTAGGAATAAACACAGCTACAAAGCTGGTTGCTTGTGTCTTTTACTGAATTTTTATTGCATCTCCAGGGGTAGGAAGGCAGGGAAGCGAGGTCCCAAAGTGACACTATGCCCCGAAGTTTCACTACATCTCTGAGCTGGATTGTCTCAAGTGGAGCTCTTGAATTGTAAAGGTGCAAAACACAGTTCCCCTCAGGTACTGCTCATATTTATAAGAACTGCAGAAATGTGACCACCTTAGGAAAGATTCATTTTTTGTTTTTTTTTTTTTCTTTTTTAAAGCACTCACAATCTAGATTTAGGTGCCTAACTTTAGACACTAAACGAGTTTTAAGATGTCAGCTTTCATGACCAGCCTGACTGCTTTTTTTGCGATAATATATTTAGCTGGGTCAAATGTATCCCTGAAGTAATCTGGTCTATTGTGCTTACAGTCTGCTTAACTTTTATTTTCTGATTATTTCTTCTTTGGTTTACCTTTG